AATGAGGGGGGAAGTACACCAGCTTTTAAAGAGAATCAGCATGTATCATTTCTGCTTCCATTGGCTGTTTATCCAACATCAATACAACACTTTAGGAGCCAAATTACTAAACAAGCTGCCAATTAGGCTTGCAGTCAGCTGGATAGATTAGTGGCTAAGAGAGGCAGATACAAGATTTTCATCTCTTGAGCCAATTACGCAAGTGAATTACCATCCACAATGCTCCTTGGAAGATTTGAGGTAGAAAGACTGACTCTGCTGTGATAGACATAAGTGGGATCCAGGGTAGGGGGTAAGGGTTAGCAGGCCATGTATTGCAAAAATTACCCAAGCAAAAAGAGATCCTTCTAGGAAAGGATTTAAAGGATTTAAGGCTGCTGGGAGCGATAGAAGAGGAAATAATAGTTGTGGTATGCTCTGAGAAGGCATTGCTGCTGTTCTGCTCACAAGTCTTAATCATACCAAAGCAAGATGAAAGGGCAAGACTGTATTTATGTACAGTGTCATTTTCTCAGAACTGTTTAAAACCCCGTTTTCTTAACATCAAGAAATAGTTTGGTGGCCAGAGATGAAATTACTTCACTATGCCTTCATTTGTTTCTTACAGCTTTGGGGGGGGTTGAGAGGGGAAAAAAGAAGCACAACAAAAAACCCACACATTTTCTTAAATAAGGGTTATCTGAGAGCTTGATCCTAGCTGTATTCTGGTTTTATTCAGCCCAATATAAGCCAAACATGCTTGATGTTAGTCTTATCCAGAAACTGGACATACAAATAAATACTGTCACAATAGTGGTTTATGAGGTCACAGCTCCTTTATTATTCTATAATAAATTATAACTTCAGTGATGAGCTTTGAATTTGTAGAAGCATTTTGCAAATAAAATGGGTCTGTCGAATCAAAACTGTTCATAGGCTCATTTGTTTCCTGCTGACAATGTTGTACACTGGTGTAACATTGTTTCTTAAATATGAAACAAATTTAAAAGCTGAACTTTTGCAAGCTGCTGTATCCAAAAATGATTAAACAGATGTGGAGCCTGCAGCAGCATTAGACCTCTGATCTGATTTTAGCTTACAGATGGAATTAAATTAATTCATGGCAATCACTGTAAAATCAAGGGTATGGCACTGAATGCTAGTGTACTGTTTAACCAGGACATACCTGTCTCAACAGCTGTTTAGAAAAAATTACATATCTTTATTTTTCACTGAAACCTGTCTTTAATGCCATCGTAAGTATCATACCAACATTAAACAAATGTGATGAGTTTTTTGCTTTTCACTTCCCAGTTTTGTCACTTACTACTCACAGATTTCATATTCCATGTATGTAAGGTCATATGCATAAAAAATGTAGACCTTGAAGTGTGTCTATTCATATACACAAAAATTTTAGGACTGTCCTTTTTTTCTTTCAGCTGGCAGTACTGCAGAGAGAAGGAACATAAGCTGAGGGTATTTTACAGTGCTGTCTTTTCAAGCAAATTACTGTACCTTAATGTTTGTTCCTCCCTCATATAATGGCTGCCTCTTCTACATGCAGACACTCATCTGGTAGATCAGGAACCAGTTGTTAGGGTTTCTAAAAACATTTTTAGTCTGCTGAGAACAAAAGGTGTACTGCACAGGAGATTCCTACAAATTATTAGTGCAGAGACATCCTTGTAACTCTTGGAAACCTCATACAGCAATAAAATTAGAAAAGCAAATCCTCGCTTTTTTTAAAAAACTTCTTTTTTTTTTTCAATAATCTGATTCTGCATAGTTATTTTTTGTGGGACAGCACAATGGATTGGTTTTGCTCTTGCTCCTGGGTGGGTCAAGACTGAACACATCCCAGAGGTAGCACAGCCCTTTTCAAGGCCATGTGCTTGGACCATTCTCTCTAACAGGCCCTACTGGCTAGTCCAAGAAGTGCCATAGGCATGAATTAAAAACTGAACTTGAAGATGAATATTGCAAGGACAATTACTGCTTTTAATTAGAAAATAAAAGCCCAAAGCACAGGAATGGGGGTCAGGGGAATAGCACAGAGTGTAACATGATTTTTAAGAGCTTTCCCCCATCATGCAGTCTATCAGCAATGCAAATGTTGGGGGTTTTTTCCAACCTGCTGATTGCACGTGAAATTGAGAGAGGGCAATACCACTATCTGTATTCTTTGGACTCAAGCAAAATATGTTGCATTACAGATAAATTTTTCAAGTGATGGGTGAAAAATTGCAGGAATGTTAAAGGCAGACAGACATAGATAGTATTCATATAAAAACTAACTATACTGCAATAGAATGGCCAGGGTATATTAAATATTTTCCACAATTCAAATAAAAGCAATCTGTATTCACCTCATTTATGAGAAGGAGTAATTAGTCAATTAGTAATACAGGAAAGATGGGTGGGGTTTTTGTTTTGCTTTATTCTTACTGCAGTGCAAAGCCTCCAAACACATCATCTTTTGGACACTGTATGTTGTTTGTTTGTCCAAAAGTAGGTTGTGAAACCCAAGTTTATGGTGGCTTCTCTTTTCTTTCTTTTTCTTTTTTCTCCTTTTTTTTTTACTTGATGATATAGAAGAGTAAAACAGGGCTCTTAGGGAAAGCATGTGCTTTAATAGGAGATAGAAAAGTACGTACAGTGGAGGGGAAAATAGTTAGCGCATACACATTCTAGAAGTACTTGTGTGGCTTTAATAACAAATTATTCCAATTATGCTGTCATGGAAAAACAATACTGAAATGCTTCTAAAGGTATCAAAAATAGAAGCACCAGTTTACTAAATAACGTGTCTGGGTACAGAGTGTCCTTTCATATATCTTCTTTGTGAGGTTCCTCTGGCTGTCTCATGAATTGAAATTCATGTAGAAAGATACATCTGTTACAGGAAGAGGTCTGTGGGTTTTTCCCCTGAATAGACTAAAATGAAAAAGCTGTTTATGTTGTCTCAGGCTATACCTTGCTTACTGTTCCAGCAGCATTGCTGGCTCTGCCTAGGCAGCGTTATGAACGGTTTCATGTTTCCAGGTTTTAGGTGTCATAAAATACACTCTTGTGCTTGCTCTTTCCTGCTTGGCAGGTCTGTTGGATCTCTCTTCCCCTTGAAGTTTTCCCCTTAATTGTTCCACAAATATTTACTGGAATGGTTCTTCATTTCTTACCATCACTTCTTACAAAAAGTGGACCAAAACACACTTCCCGGGTTTTACCTGCGAAGCGTACCAGAACTCTCGTTAAACAGTACTCCTTCTTCTTTCCCTTTTTTTTTTCTCTTCAGCTAGAAAGTATAACTGGGAAGGTTGCAAAGCCTGTGTTGTGTATGTCAGGCAGTGCCAGGGACTCGTTTGTATGAAAATTGCCTCTGCCTCTGGGGGTCTGAAAAGAAAGGAAGTCTTGGACCTTGAATTTTGTGCTGGTCAGTTCAAGAGAAACCCTCTTGGGACTGGAGGCTGCTGACTTAAAAGCCTCTATTTTAAGCCTAGCATTAAGCATAGCTTCAAACCAGTATTAAAGGATGCCTTCCCTCAATGCACTCCTTTTTTTCTTTGACTCAGGGACTGAGATACTAGAAAGCAGTCTGCCTTTTATGTAGCTAGTGTTTTACTGAGTATGAACAGCTCTATAGTGGATAATGTTGGAGTACTGTAAATTCATCATCACAGTCATCATGAGGTTTTTAATGTGCACCTCTCATTTTCAATTTCTGTCTGTGTAGGCAGTTTCCACTGTGGGACCTTGCTTTTTGTGTGTGTGTGATAAATAAGGCTTTTTAGAAGCTCATGTTCAACTTTTAAGTTAATATAATGATAAGGCAGCTGCTTGTCAATGTAAGTTCTTGGCTGAAGATATTGTAGTCTCCAAAAACTCAAAATCACAGTCTTCTAGTACAGTATTTTTCAAAAAGTATCAGGCATAATAAATAGGTAGAAAATGAAACAGATAGTTTTGAAGGTATCTGTTGGCACATTGAGGGGTTTTTTATTTGTTATTGGGGCAGGGAGATATTGAATAATGCTGAAAACAAAATCCAGCTATCTATGTGCAACTGCTTGTGTTCAAAAACTTCAAAAGTCCTTTTTAAAACTGTTTGTATGTTGGAAGTTGATAAATTTTAACACATATTCTTGAAATAAATATCCCTTGCACAAGATGCTTATATTTAGAAGGCTTATCCATGCATTATCTCCAAACTCTGGCTTGGGGAGTTTGGTTGATGAAAGGGGAAAAACTGCTTTGTTATTTTGACTTCACTATTTATTTTTTTTTTAATGATGCATTAATTGGGGAAAAAAAGCCCTTTCTTTTCAAAAAAAATCTGTTATACAAAAAAATATATACTAACACTTGCAATATTGGTGCTCTTTTCTGTGGTAATTTCGATGCTTAGAAGAAGAGAATGTAAACAACACTTAGCAAAATTGAAAACAATGAAAGTAACCTTGTACATATCAAATCTCACGATGTTCAGTAAATGAGAAACTAAGTAGAAGTACTGCTGAATTTGAGTGGTTGACCACCTGTCTGTACTGTTTCTATAACAGCTATAATTGTTTAATCAGAACTTATTTATTGGGTTTTCTTGAAGAAGATCATTGATAAATATTGCTAATAACAGAGTGATGGTCATGTTACTATGATGTGTCTCAGTAACTGCATAGGACTAGAAATTCATGTGATCTTGACAGTGTACTGGTAGACATCTGCAGGTGATTAATATTCTTTGAGGCTGATGTGAAATCCACTGTATTGCAATATAATATGGCAATATATGTCATATGTAAAAACAGAATGAACCTTCAAAAGCATTAAAAATAAAAGCATAAGACTGTATTATTTAGAATCATATACAGTCAAGAGGTCAACATGCACAAAGACAGCCTGTTCTAGAAACCTGTTAGATGAATTAGGAGAATAAGAAGGTTTAAAGGTTTACGGGAGATTATCCTGCTCTTCTCCACATGGCAGGCAGTGCTGATTAATGCTGTGTATTTCTTTAATCTCAGGGTTTGTAGGTGAAAACACCCAACCAATCCCAGAAAACAACATTGGGAACAGAATGCTTCAGAGTATGGGCTGGACCCCAGGCACGGGCCTTGGACCAGACGGCAAAGGGATAGCAGAGCCCATACGAGCCGTCCAGAGACCCAAAGGACTTGGACTTGGATTTAGCTGACAGAGACAAAAATAAAGCTCCAAATTAATTTAAAAAGGAAAAAAAAAAAAAAAAAAGAAAAGAAAAAAATGGCAAACATATTACTTGTTGTGATCGGCAAATCCAGATTTTCTTCTCTCAGAGATGGCTGAAGCTTCACACCAAGATCCACCAGCTGCAAGGTACAGCCGCAGTGACAGAACCGGCATTCGAGTCTAGCTTCATAATGGTGCTAAAATGTACAAAAACCTCTACTTTTTTATTTTCTGTGGTCTTAAGGTTTGTATTAAGCATAAAATTGCATAAAATTCAGTATATTCACTTTTTTTTGTAAAAGCTTCTGACACAGGAGGTTTTAGTATATAAGTAAATTTTGTTTTGTAAGTGTAATTTCATCTCAAGAGCCTTGATAAGATTTGTTGAGGAAAATGGAATTTTTACAGCTATTGTGGCTTCCCCCTTTTCAGGCAAAGTTTCCAAACCTGGTATTTATAGTGTTTAACAATATTTGAGTATAAGCTGTCATTATGGCCATACTACATACATGTTTCCCACTGGAAGGTGATATGGTACACAATTTTGTCTAAGAGCCTGAAGAATAGCTTTGTTGTCATAGGAATGCCATTCCAACACCATTTTCTGGCAATGTATTACTGTCTTCCACATTCAAGCTGAAAAGAAATGTTTTTATACTTGTTTTTACATTTATGAAATTATCTTTCCTCAGCAAATATTGTACAAAGTTAAAGTTTACTCTGACTTTGGATTTCCCTTCATATTAATAATCCTCAGTGTTGCCACATTTAAGAATAGTTTGAGCTTTGAAACAGGAAATTGTATTTTAGGGATGACTATTTCAGTGTTTTTCTGGGGTTTGGCAGATTTTAAACAATGCAGTGTTCAACATGGTGTTAATGTTTGGCTTGTGACCGTGCTGTTGCCAATGAGCCACAACCTTTAAGGATCATGAACAGAAAAAGGGCAAGGAGAAGCAGGATTAGGATGGAGGAAAGGAAGGAAAAAGATACTTTGATGGCATCTCACAAATCTAAGCTAGCAATTTAAAATCAAGAGGGATCATTAAGTGTTTTAATCAGTATCCTAATGTATCTAATGTCAGCAGAAGCAATTTCATTAAGCACCAACCAATCAAGCTCCTAGGGTACTTATTAGTGTGCTGGATAAAACAAATTCCACTTTAAAATTAAATGATAGGGCTGAAGGAAAATGTTTTTCAGATGGACTGAGGAGAAAATCCTGCCCCTCTCACCACCCATGCCTGTAGTAGCTGGCAATATTTGCCCTCACTGCAGAAGGAACAGGATTTGATTCTCTAGTCTTTTTTCCTTCAGGAGGATGATCTCCCTTCCACAGCTCCCACGCTGCAGAGAAAAATACTTAGTTCCAGATGCTTGCAAAGATATTTCTTTAGGATAAAAAGAGCACAGCTTTGTTCATGCAACTGTGAAATATAGTGATTAATTTTAAGACGTGTTGTTATTACTTTCCTTTTTCTCGCAGCTTCACCCGTTTTTCCAAGAAAATAGTAGCAGGAAGAGAAATACCAGCAGCATTATGGCATTAAATTTTCTTAAAAGAAATGTTCATACTTTCCAGTGTGATTACTGTCAGTTTGGGGACATTGTTTCACTGTACCACCATAGTGTAGAGATTACAGACTAGCACCTAATGTTGTTTTTATGTTAGTTGAATGTACATGTTCTCTGAGTTTCAGGAAGACTATTTATTGCTGTTTAAATACTTTATATGATTGTGTGGTTTGACTTTTTAAAATTATAGGAAATTTTAAACATAATTGGGATTTATACAGCAAAACATACACTTTTTATTGTAAAGTTTTGGGGCATAGTATGATGTGAGTTCAAATATCTCTTGCACAACTGAACTTGGTTAAATACATTCCATATCTGAAGAATTTCAAGGCCACATAATTGCAAAGGGACAAGAGCCTGGAATTCCACAGCTGGCAGAGGTGCCCACTTGTGTGTTACTACAAATAATGAGTTTCCATGGCTTGCACCTGTTTTGTCAGTGCCATGCACTCCTGAGAGCAAGTGAACTCTGAAAACCTTTTTGTTTTGTACACTACAATCAGAAATCCCTTTAAATCATTTTCAACATGTGAATTGCATAAGTGAATCTTTTAAGATGTGTTTGTTGTAGCTTTATCTGAAGAACTGTGAAGGAATACTCAGTCTGTTAAAATTCCAGTGTTTTGCTTTAGTTCCAACACCTGCATGTCTTGGACTGGAAGTATGGCACCTATAACACTTCTCTGAAGTATTTCTGTGCAATTTACCGTAGCAGTAGTTTCTCAAGAAATAAGTGTAGAGCTCCAAAAGTACTTTAAAGTGTTTCGTGTTTTTCAAAGGTAAGAGGGAAATAATGGATACATGTTGAGGGAAAACATCTTTAGCTCATTCAGCTCTTTTTTCATGCATTCCTACAGGTGCAGTGAAGCAGCCAGCCTAGTAGACAGTCATAATGGAAGAGCAGTGTAATCAGATTTAAAATCTTACAGGTTTTTGCTTTAAATCAGCCTTTTAGTGAGAATCTACTAGACATTAAGTTTAGATAAACTGGTTTTGATATAGATACACTTTGTTTTTCCCAGGTGTTATCATTAGATGCCACAGCTGACAGTATACTTCATTTGCTAGAAGCTGTAGAACAAAGTGATTTATTAAAATATCTTAATGTAGTGTTTTGAGATATTTTCTGTGCAGTAAAAATTCTCATTCTGACTCACACTGTGATTTTGTTTTCATTTTTCCACATCTCACAGGATTGGTTTTAAAGATCACTAGTGTGATTTTGCATAGTTAAAGCTAGTGTTAAGAAACAAAACAGAAATTAATTACAGGGGTTTTTTTCTTTTTTTTCTAGGACATTGCAATGTTATTTGGCTTTGAAACAGGTCAAAATACTTGGATTTACTGTTCATTTTCTTCAGATATTTCTATGTCTAACCTGCAATCATACTATGATACCTGCTATAAAGCTGGCACACATTATTTTAAAATACATATACAAGTTTTTTCTTAAATAATAATTCTTCATGCCTGTGACACTGAAGTTTTTGCCTACATAAATAAGTATGGGATCATCTTGTATCTAAAAGTTGTCATCCATAACTTGCCAGATTCTTTCCATTTGAATATTTGAATCAGTAGCTCAGCTGTTACCATAATATTCTTCCTCTGAAGAATGTTTAGTGAAGAGACATTGCCTATTATCAGCACTGCGTTTTGCTACATGTTCCATGGTGTCTCAAAGTTCTGTGAATTGAGCCATTAAATGTTAATAAAAGAAACCCATGAGCAGTATCTTATTTCTATATAAATATTTGTCAAAGTCAGAGAAGCATTATCAATATGCTTGTTTTAACAAGTTTGTCCCTTCATTTGTCTTTCTGCAATTAGGTCGATAATGGGTGTAGAGCATCAGTAAATAGCTAAATGATATGTATAGTACGCTTTGCTTTAACAACACAAATGCAAGATGAAATAAAATAAATAGACTCAATTCCTCGTGGGCTTTTGTATGTTCTTTTCTTTAAACTGCCCTTTTCAGTAGTGTTGTTATTGCACAGGTGAGTACAAAAATGTGCTGTTTCTGGAAATATAATTAAAGTGGCTAATGTAGTGTACCAAGCAAAGGCATACTATGTTAAGCTATTACACTGCCTTTTATGTACCTTTTTACTAGTTCTTCTTTCCTAGCTTATTATCCCACTGAAGAGGTTACACCACAATGTCAGGAAATGTCTCGTTTAAGATGTTTGTTATCATATTCTTGTAAGACTTCTAAGTACAAGTTCCCTTCACTCCTTAAGTATGTGTATACTTTGATAACCATGGCAGATCCTTGTGCTTTCTCTTCAAACAATTCTCCAGAATTGTTCCTCCAAGGAAAACTCACACCACCTTAGTTTTATTTTCTCTCTCCCCATGCTCCCAGGGCGCTTTCAGTAAAGGCATATCAGAAGTGGGAATCTTTCCCCTCTTAATCAAGAAACTTTCTAATTAGACTTCCATCCCTAGCAGAGTTTTCTGGAGCAGTGGGGTAGCTGCAAAAGGGTTACCACCTTGCAACTGAGCACACTAAGTTGTTTGGGTTTCGTAATAGTTCTCTTCTGTCCTACAACAAAACAGATATTGGAGCTATTTTGACCATGTCACTTGTATTTGAATATTCAATCATTAAGTAAAAGGCTGAATATCACTGAGATTATGTAAGCTTGATCTCCCCCACCAATGAGAACTGGTTTTTAACAGCTATAAAAAGGGGTTTAAATAAATATAAGGTATTCCATCTATAGAAAGTTGGTATTTTGACCTGTTCATAACATTGCTATGATGAGTGTAAGTACTGGGAAGTTTGACTTCTGAAACTGTGAGTATAAGTCACTAGCCTCTGAGGGATGTATGTGTTACTGTAATACATTTGCACTGATTAAATACATGACCTTATTGAAATATTCAGAATATTTCATCATAGATATACTCATTTCAGTTGTGCCTTGTCCATGGCATTGTCTTGCCTCCTTAATACTTGTCTGTTTTTCTGAAAAACTTAAGCCCTGTATATGTTTTTAAGTGGTAATACCCAGTGTTTCTTCTCTTGAAGCATTATCTCTTGTATGTGCCAGGTGATGCCAATCAAGATTTTCTGTAGTTTCTGCTACTCTACAGAAGTTGCTTTTCCAGCCCCTCCCTAAGCCAGATTCCTGAAGGGCCACCTGTTGCTTTCATTAGTTGTTGGAGATTTTGACACTGACAACTTGAGATTTCTTCGTCCTTGGCCAGGCTGTTGTGTTGGTCCCTCTCCTTCTGGTGGCCCCAAGTCAGCAAGAGATTTGCAATTCTTTGTGCACCTATCTGCCATTGGCTTCAAAATGTGAAATACTACTTAAGTCTAAAAATAAGCAGCATGGGAGAATTTGCAGACTGGGGCTGTGACTTTCTTCCTTGTGAAAGATACAGGTCCTAAATTTTCCATGGCGTCAGAGTTCCCTCAGATCCCAGCTGCCTGTTTCCATCCAACAGGATGTTTCTGGCCCACCTTTAGTACTGAGCTCTTCTAGAGCTGCTGGAATGTACAGGTTAGCTGGTGGTCATTTCAATCCTTGCAGTACCCAGGGCAATACATCCCAGCAGAGTGGGGAGTCAGGCTGTCATGGCAGCCTGGAATATCTTGATTTTGCACAGTTCAAAATTCTGTAGGTGTGATAGGGTCAATTCAAAAGGATTTTTTGTCAATTCAAAAAGGATATAGCAGGAAAGTAAGAATTGCAGATATCAGAAGGGAACAAAAATCACTTTTGAAGCTGTGATACAATGAGAAGTTTGAAATTTCTTAAATTTGGGGGCAGATGAGTAAGGGGAGTCAGATACTCACAGAAAGAAAGCATAAATGTTGCAAGTAATATTTTCTTTAATTTACAAGTAGGGTGTCAGTGTTTGCCAAAACAGGCTCAGTATTTTTGACCCACCACTGAAGAATGCTGAAGCAGTTTTAATGCCTGAGGTAAGTTAAACTTGTCACACATCCACTCTTGAATCCTACAAACTTTCTCTGAGAGTCAGCTTATTCTACACCTGTCCACACTCAAACTTTCTCCATCTTCTCAAGCTGCCTTATTGTCGGTGTTGGACCTAAGATTGCTCCCTGCATATCCATTCCCATGAGTTTTGTTTTTTAATGAGGTGTGATTTTTTTTAATCCACTTTGCAAGTTACCTATAATGTTGCTTCAACTTTCTATCCTACAAGGTAGATTTGAGTAGTTCAAGGAGATTCTTTGAAGAATCAGCACAAATGAGTTCTAATTTTTCCTCCCATAAAATCTTTATACATTTTTTTGATGTCTTTGAAGACCACTGCTGCTGTTCATCATTGCTTTCTCTCTTGCACAAACTTGGTTGTTTTCTTACAGAATACTGTGGTGTAGGGCACAATAATTTTTCTGATTGCATTTGCAGGTGTGCAGATTTTCAATTTCATGCTTTTGGTTTCAAGTCCCCAGAACTGAGTTCGAAATCCACATGTTGCTTTATTTTCTCTGAAAATTCCATGTTATCTCAATGTCCTGCCTATTGTGAAGAAAGTGGAGTGTTTATCTAAAATTTTCTAGATGCCAGACTCTCAGTAAATGTGGTGCTGGCCCTCACACTTCCCATATCAAATATGATCTGCAACACGAACCATGCATATGTAAATACAAGATGCAAAAAACTGTTGAATGAGAATGCCAGTGATACACAGTATGTTAATTTGGATTAAACTCAAATAGTTCCACTGTCTGGAAGAGCAGTTTACAGATTTCTTTTTTGTATGCTGTGGTATGCCTTATTACTGAAATAAGAGATTTTAAGAGTGAACCAGTAATGATTTTAAGTGGTTTGCTAATGTGATGTAAATAATAAGTAATTACCTAGTTGCCTTTATACTCACTAGTGTATAAGCTGATTTATTTTTCATCTTCTTTTGTCAGTGAGCATGTGAATTACAGTTCTTACTAACTGAATTTAGGTAGTTTCTATCCATTGCCCATGAAGATAGGTCAGCTACTACTAAACAGTAGCTCTTGCCCAGGAATTTTTTAGAAAAGAGATCTGGACAGAAATTATGCCACTGGCAAAAGGTGTTGGAATAGAGAAGATCAACTTTCAACCTCTATGTTGTACCTACCTGCAGTTTTCCAGCTAAGCACTGGGTCTTCCTTATTAAAGGTTCATAGAGAAATGGTGTAGGGAGTCTCAAGATTCGATACCTGTTCTACTGTTATTGCTAACATTAGAAGTATTCCTCTAATAAAAATTTAAACTTTTATTGTGTCAGATAATGTTTATTCAGCAAAATCTCTACTGGTTTGTGGAATTTTCTAATAAACAGCTGCCAAGACACAGTATTATTACTTGGGTTAGTCAGAAACTAAACTACCCCAGTCTTCAGTTCTGGGTTACCAGTCCTTCTCCATAGACTCAGATACAGTCTCCCTTCTGGAAAATGAAAGAACCTGGAAGCCTTGACAGTTTGAGGCCCCTGAAACCTTCTGGCTTCAGGCCCTGCAGGGAAAGTCCCTCAAAATCTCTCCAAACTTGAATGCTCCCCACCATAGAGCAAAGAACTAGAAAACCTGAAATCACCCTGTGGCTTTTGTAGTTCTAGTATGGGTCAATCATTGGAGGCTGCCCTTACAGTAGTTTCCATGCTTCCAGCTCAGGAGGATGTGTTTTGGGAGGCTGGGAGGCAGGGATGGCCAGGCTTCCTGCAGGGGAGCTGCAGACTGGGCAGGTCTAGAGGCTGCAAGCACACAGCAAGGAGCACCAGCTCAATAAAGTGTGATTTGGACAACACATTCTTGCTCCTCAGCTTATTTTGGAATCGTTGGAGTGTCCTGCGGAGAACAGCATCCAAGGCAACTTTCACTTCAGATTTAAAGGAGGGTCAGCACATTTTGATTTCTGAGAGCACTCTGAATTAGCAGTAATGTCCTGGTAAGTGAATGGTAAGTACAGGTTTGGACTTCCCAGAAGGGTCAAATGTGATCGTGGAGTTTGTAGCCACTGCTGTGGGATTTTGTTCCAGGCTCAGGCTGCCATTTCACCAGCCATCTGAGAGGTTTATGCACTTCAGTGCAAGATTGGTTATAGATGCAGATTTTTAGGCAGTGGTTTGATAAGGCGATCACTATCAGACTTAATTGTACTGGACCATGACAAAAAGGTTACAATATCATAGCCAGAGAAGTATTCTGTAATGATTTTTGTCACCTTCCAGGATAGTGAATCTTTGAATATTTTTGGCCAGAACCACAGTGCTTTGCTGTCCTTGCACCTGGTGGGTCAAAAAAGAAAACCTTAAACAAAAAATTGTCTTAAAAAAGGGTTTACTGTGAAGTTGAGAAAAATATTTGCCCACACACATCTACACAAACAATCACGCATGCATGCATGCATAGAGGTGTAGATCTGCAAAGAACAATGTCAAACATAAAATAATGGAAACAGTAATTATCTACTGGGCCATTTGGTACATGGCCACCCCATGAACCTCACAGAAGTGTGACAAAATCTCTGGTTTTGCTGGGCCTGCCTTACTTAAAGGGGGTGTGTTGCTCCCACAGAAGTCGATAAATCTGCAATGTATTGTTTCATATTGTCTTTATGTAAACCTAGCCAGGTTTTTTAGTTGTCTTCTTCCTAATCAGTGGTAAAGTGCATTTAATAGCTCACTTAAGGTGTCATCCATTACTATGAGTTACTGTTAGAACTAATTAATAGAGCTGAAATTATTTTGTAATGAGAAATTGAAGTATTGCAGTGTTGAAAAAAAATTACCATTCATAGCTAATTAACGTTTAACAATGCAAATAAGCTGATAATTATTTTTCAAACCATAGAAAAATTCTGTGACATTTTATATACTACCTTTGTGATCTTAATTGTTTCTGAAAAATACCTGTAGAAATAAATAGTCTGAAGAAATTTCCCTGGATAAAAGACACATTCTGAAGTGCAC